AYACAAATGTATGTATTGGTTGTTAAAGTAAATAAAAGAGGCCTATCCCAGAATAAAGTGTGTAAATAATACTTTTTATGTGTGTATATGACTGTCTGACCAACAACGACATAAACCAGCCCCTGTGARGCTCCTCAGCACATCCTCTCTTTCAAATTCAAGAGCTTTCTGCCCGATTGTACACCTGAGTTCTTTCTGTTTTCCAGTTCATTTCCTGCTCATTTCCCATTTTCCCAGAGTTTGATTCTGGTGTCTCATCCTCTGAGCTCTGCTTTCCAGCCCCAGGTGCCAGCACACCTTGCCAGGGGAGCACCCACATCACTTCTCCGTGGATCTGCAGAGGGAACGTGGGGGAGGTTGGCAGCACTGGAGTAAAATCTCAAGAGTTTGTAAATTAATTTTAGTCACATCGGGCACCTCGCAAACACAAACACAACATCCCCAGAGCTGYGGATGGAGGAGGGATGTGTTACTCCTCGCTCCTCCGATGCCACTAACACGACACAGACGTGCAGGAGCTCCTCAGGAGCTCTCCTGGGTGATTTGCAGCGAGGACAAGCAGAAGCAGAACAGGAGAGGAGCCTGCTGCTGCCCGTGCACAAACACAAAACTCCCCAAACTATGGGAATGAWGCTAAAGGAAAGCTTTTCTCCAAATACAAATACCCAAGGAATTGTTTAATGATCMAAGGGGAGAAGACATCTAAATTTAATCCCCTCTGTGACAGAATAGAGGTGATTGCAGGTGGGATCCTGCTGACCAGAATTCTGTGAGATTCCCTTCACAGTGAATTGAGCACTGAGTCACCCACTGAGCCAGGCACAGTTTATTTGGGGTGGGCAACCACATTTGCTCAAATGCACCTAAAATGGCAATAAAGGCACCAAAAGGGGATTAAATCCATGTTTAACCTCAAGCAGAGCAGGTGAGGAAATCTCTAACATTCCTYGGAAAAAGGCACCAAACCCAAACAMGCTCCACGTGCTCGAGGGGAGCTGCACAGAGAGCTTTGAGCCACACTTGGACCAGCAGCTCGGAGGCTTTTGGCCAATTCTGGTGCCTGGCAGAGCCTCCCTGGCCTGGGCTGTGTGGCTGCAGGGCCATGGGCAGGGAGGGCTGGCACAGCATGGATGGGTCACAGTTTGTGGGCACTGATTGCAGGGAAGGAGCACGGGAATGGGGCTGGCTGAGTCCTGTCCCTGCCATCGCAGCCCCTTTGGGTCTGAGCAGCTCTGARCTGARCTGCAGCCTGTGATAAATGGCTGGWTKAACTGGGTTGTTTGTAATCAAACCCAGGGACAGCTTTGGAAGCTTTAGCCATGGGAGATGCACTCCAGAGGCACTGCACGAAGAGTAATGGAGCTGTTCATGAGAAAAGACAAGAGGAGCAAGCAACAAAAATGCCTGCATAGGCCATAAATCAGCAAAAAAAAGCATCACCCTGCAGTGACAGGAGAATTGAGCCCAATTGCAGGAAATGTTCACCTCAAGGGCCTAGAGCTGCCCTCCCTGCAGTGTCCCTGATCTCAGGGAGGTGAGGATGGCAGCAATGCTGCAAACAGCAATTCCCACCCACCCCAATGGTTCAGGCTGGCACAGCCCCCAGGAGATCTCTATTCCAGCCTCCTGCACAGGCCAGGCTCGGCTGGGAGAGCAGGCTTGGCTGCTCAGGGCTCAATTCAATGGGCTTTTGGAAGCCTTTGGCCACTGGCCCCAAAGCCAGCTCTCCTCCAGGCTGCACAAATCCACACCCCATCCACTGACCATCCTGGTGGCCCTCTGTCCAACACCCTCCAGCCTGGGGATGTTTTTCTGCCCTGAGTGACCAAAGAGGAATGCAGTACTTTGGAAGAAAGGAATGGAGCCTCCTGATTTGTTTGGGAAGTGAGAGGTGAAAGGTGCTGTGAGTTGAATACCTCATTTTGCTGACAGCMCTGCTCCTGACTGCAGAATGATGCTGGAATTATCTTTAAAAGGCAGGGAAACTGATAGAACAGGATTTCAATGTCAACAGCCAAAGGAATAGAAGGAAAAGCAGCCACAGGCTGTAAAAGTAATGAAAGTGGGATTAAATTTTTTTCTGCAGCACTGCCAGTTCCTCAAGGAGCACAAAGTAGTTGATTGACACTGGGAATCCTTGGCCAGTCCTGCATGCAGAAAAGCTGCAGACAAACTGCTGGTGCACTGCTGGRCACCCTCAGGAGCAGGGATCACCTCTGTTCCCACAGGAATTCTGTGCTCATGAAGGATGAGGAGGGACAGGCTCCATTTGCCAGCCCAGATTTAACACTGAACAGTCAGTGATCTCAACTGACCACTCACACCAATGCCCACAGAGTCCTTGGCCTCACCTGAACCTGCCAGGCCAGAGTCCAAATGAGGTGGGGAGTCCTACAGTAGGTACTGAGCAAGTTGCACGACATTTATATTAACACTGACCTTTGAGAAATAACGATTTTTGGWCATTGTTGCTCAAAACTGCACTTGAAAACTCACTTGCACTGGAGAGTTCCACTCCTGTCTGTCTGCAGATGGAAATGAGATCCTGATCCAAGCAGCACAGTCGAGGATGATTTGTTAAAGAGTAGAAAACCTCTGCATTAATCATATGGGGTGCTAATGAGTTGTTCTTTTGTGCCTCTTCYTTAAAGGATCGCTGTAACTCGATGGGCAACCAGAACTCACAGAAATATGGGYTGGCAGGTGAAGGTTGCTGCAAGTCTCCCCTGCCCCAGGCATGGTCACAAATGCTACAGCCACTCCAATCTTTCCTTTAAATCTCCACTGAACAGATTTACAGCCTCCCGAGAGTCCAGCTAGCCTCCAGCTACTCGCAGGGTAAGAGTTTTGTCTGGTTTGTTTGGTTTTTTCCCTGATATCTAAAGTAACCTCCCTAATTGCACTTCAGCAAATTGCTTTTTGTCCCATCATTTGTGGTCACAGGACAAGTGTTTACTGTCATCTTTACAAATGTGTTTATACATTTTGAAGACAGTTGCTGAGTCCTTACATTGTGTTTTCTTTCCCAGCTCAAATAATGAATTCCACCCTTCCACATGCTTACATTTCTAAGCCTCTCACAGTTGTGGTTGCTCTTCCCCTCTCTGGTTTTGCCTCCATCGTTCTCTGAGGGTGAGTGCAAGGCTCGGGAGAGGATGGAGCGCTCCAGCCAAGCCTGGCTGGTGCCAAATGGAACAGAAATAACGCCCTCTGATGTCTCACAGCTGATCCTCCTGCTCCGAGAGCTGCTCTGCAGCACTGCTCAGCTATGAGCATTACAGTCCTGAGTCTCCTCTGCAGCRTTTGTGCCTGGCAGTGCTCGTTTGRTATGTGAATTCYTTCTTTGTGGCACACTACATCATCTTTTTCTCCTCCAGTTTCAAGGTGCTGAGTTCAGGCTGGCTCTGCAGTATCYCAGGGYCATTTGAAATCTCAGCCCTGCACTCYGTGCTGGAATCACTGCAAATGTTATAAAAATGCYCTCAGTTCCATCACCCAAGTAATTACAGAAAACACTGGCTAAACCATTCCCACATTATTCCCTGTGAAATCTTACTTCATTTGTCCTTCCTCTTTGACAGCAAACACTTTAGAATTGCAGGYTTTCATTAGTGAGATTATCACAGGTATTGCACGAATGCAAAAACCCCGTACCTGTCACTGTGGGCAGTGACACCGATCCCCTCCCTGCTGCAGGTAAAGGCTGAGAGCCTGCTAAGGAACCTTCCCACAGTCAAATTTAAATCATCAGCAATATCAGGGAAAAGCAGCCCGAGCTGACAGCCCCAGTCACTGACAGCCCTCTACACAACTGCTGTTCAGCAGCTCCGGCTGAGGAATATCAGCACGACTATTCCTGYGTGCCCACACAATCCTGAACCRCSGTCCAATTTAGTTTAGGGGRAAAAAAGAGGTGTTTTGCTAAAATTACCATAGTATAGGTTTTTCATTTGTATTACCATAGCAACAAAGGACTTCGCTTGAAATGAGACCCCGCAGTGCTCCGGGTGAAGCGCACGGTGCCCACGGGAACAGACAGCCCTTGTCCCCCTGAGGTGACTGTCCCCATCCTGCGCGGAGGTGCGGGACATCACCTGCAGCAAATCCCCTCAGAGAGCACTGCCTCGGCAGGGAAGGGAAAGCAGAGCCCAGAAAGATCACGATCTCTGCACCCACGGGGGGACAGCAGCACACGGGATGGGAGCGGTTCAGTAAAAAGTCTGTGACAGAGCTTGAGCTGCCGGTGWCTCCTAACCCTGGCACCAAGACTTAATTCACAGCTTTAAAACGGAGATTTTACATCCACACAGAGTAGCTTCCACCTGGATGTCAAACAAATTTCATTAAAAKTAGAGCTGGGCATTATTCTCCAGATCTGTGACAATAGAGCGCTGTGCTAATTGTGGTAATTGTGGTAATTCCCGGGCGCTGCGAGGGAACAAAGCACGGGTTTGGCTTTCCCGGCGTCTCTGCGTAGGTCGGGGAGAGAGCTGGGGTAGGATTTATGYTTTAACGGACACCTGTCATCGCACTTGTCCAACAGCGAAGCCGGGCTGGCTCGGAGGGGCACAGCAGCASGAGTTTCCCGAGGATGCCACCTGTGCGCTCCCGGCGCGGGGCAGGGCTGGCGGGCGGCCCCCCGGCCCAGCTCCGCTCCTCCCGGCTCCGGGAGCTCCTCCTCCCGCTGCTCGTCCCGGCGGGGCCGGTGGCCCGGGCGCTGCTGGCGGTGCCGGTGCCGCACCATGCGCGGGGTCGGGGCCGCTCCGGAGCGCTCCCGTCCCGCCCCCGCCCGCGGCCCCGGAGCTCCGCAGGGCGGAGGCGCAGCGCGGTAGCGCGCCCGGTGCCGACCCAACCGCGGGGCTCCGCGCTCGCTGCCCGCTGCCGGAGCCGCGGGGCAACTTGCAGGCAAGTTCCGGGCAACTTTGGCGGCTCCGGGGCGGCCGCGGGCAGCGCAGAGCGGAGGAGGCGCCGCCCGGCCGGGGGTGCCCGAAGCGCGGAGCCCCCGGAGCGGGCGGGGCGCACGGACCCCGCGGCTGCAGCAACAGGTTCTGTCCCTCCGCAGGGATGGAAGAGAGGGAGCGGCCGTCATTCCCTGCCGGAGCCGGGCTGGCCGCGCCGCCAGCAGCGGGAGGGGCTCGGCCGCTGCCCGGGACCGCTCGGCTCGTTCCTGCCCTGCCCCGGCCCCGCCGCGGAGGAGGCTGACGGTGCTCCAGGCTCATCCATCGGGCTCGCTTTGTGCTGCTCGGGCTTCCCCTGGCCGGCTCCGCCGCTCCCCGCGTCCTGTGGCTGCACGGCGCAGGATGGAGGCTCGTGTTTCCAGTTTCTTCCGCCTTGCCTAATCTGAAGGTCCTTTACAGCTTTCMTTTTTAAATAATTAAGGGATGTCTTTTGTATTGGTTTATGTACTGACTTCTGCGCGTTGCTGACTGACAGACACATCAAGTGAATTGGTTTTGATAGGCAATGTCTTTCTGGCAGATTTTCTTTCATTGGAAAAGACTTGGGGAGGGGGTGAGGACAGGACAAGCATGAAAGAACTCTTCCATGACTACGCATCTTCATTTCGGTAGCAAAATACTTATCTATATAAATAAATGTCAAATCCTTTACTTTTTTAAAATTACGTTTAAGAGACTGTTATGAATATGACTTGCTAAAATTTGTTGACATAAATATGTTTCACAGCAGGAGAGTAACTGCAGTTATTAATCCTAATGTATTTCAGAACATTCTCCTGGGGATATAAGTTATCTGCAAAGTTATTTCACTTCTGATTACTATCAGTAGAATAAGGCTCAGCTTTATAAAACCAAACACTGAGTAGCATTTTTGACATAATTCTGTTTGTAGGTTGTTGTAAGATGCCACAACTGTCCAGCTCAAGGAGAGCAAGATTAGAGATAGAATATATTTTTTCAGCTTATCTGCTTTTCAGGAGAGTTTTATGTCATGTTATACACTGATCTTTTTAAGTTTTACTTTGGTTTGGCTGGAAGTGCACTTTTGCAAGCAGAGTGGAAGTTTGAGATCTGTTCTTAGGCTGTAGAGAGCTGCAGGAGTATGGCTTGTAGTGTGTCAGGAGGTACCTGGCAGTGAGGTACAGCACGGAAATCCTGTGCCAGGAGAGAGCTGCAAGTGCTTGGAAATGCTGCTTAGCTAAGGAAAGACTAAACGAGGAAGGATCACTACATTGTAAAGCAGAATGGAATGGAATTCTTTCCAAAAATCACTATATTCATATTCAACATGCACTGAAATCTGAAACTTTTTAAATTTTTTTTTTAAACTTAATTTACAAATGGTAAAAAGCAGCAGAGATGAGTTGCARGCACTGGGATTGACAGAAGAGTCTAGGGGGGAGTTCTGCATCTTCTTTGCAGCCTTGTTGTCATCCAGGCACAACTTTGAATTGTCTGCACCACGGAGCAGGAGCAGGACTCCTTGCAGGAGCTCTGATTACATCAGAGATGCACTGCAGAATTCAAAATACTGCAGAGGACACTGAGGGGGGGGAAACAACACTTGCAGTGGAATTTTAGCTTGTTTCTCATGAGTTCTCTTTCYTCCCCTCAGAAGGGCATCTTTAATAATCCTTTTCCCTTTGCCTCGGAGYCTGGCATCCTTCCTGAATTCTGGCTGCAAGTAAGGGCAGTACRGATTTCTAATTTGATTTCTTCATCAGACATAATGGATTTCATCTTGTGCAGGACAGATTTTTGCAAATGTGTTCTATCTTAGTTCCCATGCACAATACACCCCCTTAGAGTCTCCCAGAGCCCCTGCTGTCAGCCAATTATTCCATGTTCCTGGAGGTTGTAAAAACCAGAGCGGTTCAGAGGGATTTAGGGAGGGACAGTTGTTGCCCCAGCAAGTTTACAAACACAACAGCCACGGTGCTCTGAGAGAAGGGATGTGCCAGGAGGAGAACACGCTGGCAGCAGGAGATTGAGCTGGGCTCAGCCAGTCCCACGCATCCCAAGGGCAGAATCCTGCTCACCCTCCGACAAGGAGGGCTTTTAGCACTGGGCCTGACTTAACCAGGGCAGAGCAGAGGATTTTACAGCAGATCCTTAAAGTTCATCGTGTTTAATTGCTGGGAAGAATGGTGCTGGAGGCTAATGTGTTTGTCTGACCTCATATTCCAGTGTGTTGTCTTTACTCCTAAGGCATTTCTTATCAGCTGTCCCCAGTGACATCAGGCTGTAGGAATAAAGCAGTTTGCTTGGGCTTTAAGCTCAATAGCAAAAAGTCCTTCCATTAATTAGATCTCTCTCATCCTAAAGCAACACTGACCATCATTCTGTCGAGACACCTTCAGAAGGAAAACAAGAAACACGCAGAGAAATGCATGAGTCTATTTTTCTTCTTTCTTCGTTCTTCAAGTCAGCCACATTTATTATTGTCCTTTATTTCCTCCTACTCTCCCCCTGTAGATATGATGCTGCGTGTATGTGAGGAGAGAACATGAAAATAACCCATGTGGGGATCAGATCCTACGTGGGATTTGTAGGCTTGCCAGTTCTGGTTATGGAAAACCAAGGAGCAACCTTTTCTAAGTGCAGCCACTCAGTGTGACACACAGGGGATTAATTTGTCCAATTTATTGTCTCACACAGGTCGAGGAGATGGGAGYGAAGGAAGAAATTCCTTTTTCTTTGCTCTGCTCTTTCACAGTTGCTGCCTCAGGGTTACAGCRTGTGTCTGACACACGCAGAACATTTACATTTCCCTCTCTCTCCACTTTTTCCCATTGTGTCAACAGTGGATGTGCTGGGAGATCAAACCAGTGACAGAGATGAGCTGCCTCCTCATTTTTCTTGGCTGAGATTCAGAGGATAAGTTGTTGCTAACCAACATCATCTGGTATTACAGAAGGGAAAATGGTTAACAGCTCCCACTTATCCATATCTTATATCAGTCATAATCTTCATTCTCTTTGGAKCAGCCCTGCCTYAGMCATGGCTGAGGCAGAGGGGAAAARGSYTTTTTTMAAATAAAAAGAGATGAAGCCCTACATGAACACCCATCAGCAGCCCTGCTGTCCCATATCAGACCCATGGTCTGAACTCCAGGGGTGTTTCCTCTGCTGCCCCATGGAAAGAGGATGAGATGAACTTTCAGTGCCTTCCAACCCAAACCATTCTGTGATTCTGCACCAGTGAGGAGAGCTGACGTGGGGCCACCTGTTTGTAAATGTGCACAGAGTGCTCTGTTCAGCCCAGTCCCTCTGGAAAGTTCAGCAGCAGAGCTGAGAGTGTTTTGTTGAAGCATTTAAATGCCCTTGCAGCAAGGAGAGCTCTTAAACTGATGTGCACTGTGGTTTGAGTCCTGTGCTGTTGTGTTTTGATGGGTTTTTCTTCTCCAATAGGTATGTACCACTCTTGGTGTGCTTTCTAAACCCCAGCTTGTGCAAGGAAGGGTTCTGTGGCTCAGCAAGCAGCCCTAGCAGGGGGTTATCCCTGGGCTGCACATCCAAGGGAGGTAAGTGCAGCCAGGAGAAGAACAAAGCTCTACTGGAGCCAATCAGCTGGAATATTTATCCCTCTCCTGTGGAGCTGAGGCTAAAAAGCCAAAATCCCGGTGCATATTTAATGTCTGTGTATTGTACAATCTCCTTAATAAATAAATACTCGTCCCAATGAAACCCAGCCACTCCAGGCACTGAGCTGAGTGTGCAGATGGAAGGTCTGGGAGCAGTGCCTGTGGAGGAGCAGATTTGGGGCTGACCCCTGAAGTGCAGTGAATTAGGGAGGTCAGAAGTTTGAACATTTCCAGCTCCTGTGTTTTATACCCAGCTGAACTCTGTTCATTCCGTGGACTTTACGCCAGTGCTGCATGAGCAGAATTTGAACGTGATTTTCCAAGTTGCCATTAGAAATCTTTAGATTCTTATRAGCAGAGGTAAAGGCACTTTGTCTCTCAGGTACTGCTCAATCCTACACAAGGACAAAGCCCTAATACTGCCTATAGGGTGTCAGTTGTAACTGAAATAACACCCCAAGGTTTGCATGGAAATCCTGYATTTCTTTGCAATCTTCTGTAAATGAGGCCATAAAAGGGAGTTGCCATGTCATTAAYTGTGTAGAAATTCAATACAAATGTTTATGTGATCACCAATACAAGTGAGCCTTTTTCCCCCARATTGTTTCCAGATGGCCTTTTAGAAATTAATCTTGTACTAACTGGTTTTTAGAAGTGTGTATTTACTGAATTACAACATCATTRACTTCTGATTCTTTCTATATACTTCATGGGTGCTAAAACACTCCAGATTTTTATGTGCAACACTTAAAAATATTATACCATTTCCTTTTCTACAAAACACACTTGAATTCTGTGTCCTAATGTGATGCTGTCATAATTTTTATAYCTCCACTCTGAACCAGAAACATCCYGCCACATGGAGGAATTACTCCTGGTTTCCCTCTTTATCTTCTGGGGGCTGAAACCTCTGTATCTGGGACAGGAGGAGCCTCCCAGAGTGATAAATATTCCAGGCAGAGCTCCTGAACTGGGCACAGCCCTGCTGGACAATCCCAGCTCCCCAGAAAGCTCTTCTGACCACACTCAGCCCCTACTTTTTTCTTTCCAAATGTTTTCTTTGTCCACAAACATTTTTGAGCTCCAGCCACCACATTTGTTCAAAACCTGCAACCAGCCTCTCATTTCCTCACCCCTGGGTGTGTTTTCTGTTGCAGAAGACACTTGCAGAAGCAGCGAAGGGATGCAAAGCTGTCTTCCAAGATGACTCTTATGCCTGGAGAAAATTCCGACTATGACTATAGCGCCCTGAGCTGTACTTCCGATGCTTCCTTCAACCGCAGGTTCTTTCCAGAGTCTGAAACCCTCAAGGGAGTGTTTTACCAAAGAGCCAGGCTCATCCACCCTCAGGAGGATCTCCTCAAAGGCTTCCACCCCGACGATCGGAAGCGTCACATAATTATAAACGTGGGGGGCATCAAGTACCTGCTCCCCTGGACCACGCTGGACGAGTTCCCCTTGACACGGCTGGGACAGCTCAAGTTCTGCACCAATTTTGACGACATTCTGAACATCTGTGATGATTACGACGTGACGTGCAATGAGTTCTTCTTCGACCGCAACCCAGGGGCGTTCAGGACAATCCTGACCTTCCTGCGGGTCGGAAAACTCCGGCTCTTGCGAGAGATGTGCGCGCTGTCTTTCCAGGAGGAGCTGCTCTACTGGGGCATTGAGGAAGACAACTTGGACTGGTGTTGTAAAAGGAGATACCTGCAAAAAATGGAGGAGCTGACAGAGATAAATGAACGGGAGGATGACCTCCTAGAAAATGAAACAACAGGTGAAACAGTAGAGGAGACAAAAATTGGTTTGTGCATGAAAAAGTTGCARGACATGGTGGAAAGGCCCCAGTCTGGCCTTCCTGGAAAGGTGTTTGCGTGTTTGTCTGTTTTGTTTGTAACTATTACAGCAGTGAACTTATCCATCAGCACCATGCCTGACCTGAGGGAGGAGGAGGAAAAGGTAAGTTAGCTTTTAGGGTGGCAAATGGTATGTGCTGGGAAGAGCAGAGCAAGTACAAGGTCTGAGGGTATTGATTGCAATGGGGATTTGGCAGCTGTCTTTAGAGGGGGGAAAATATCACGGAGAATATTTGAATTCTTACATGACTGTTCAATTCCTTGTAAGACAATTAATCATATCCAGTTTTATGTGCAAAGAAAATCCTGTTAMCTTGCACTTTTCTGTATATTACCTTGTTAGGCTTTGTATTTGCTRTTTAGAAACCCTGAAATTCCTGAGCAATATCTTCTGTGGAATAAGCAGCTCCTTTCTAAGTTTTGCATTTAGCATGTTCCAAATTGCCAACGTGTTTCCCCATAGCAACAGCTTCAATTCCTTTAATATTTTGGGTGTAAAAAAAAAAACACAACACAGAAGCCTCTCCTCCTGCCACCGCACCAACTAAAATAGTCATTACCCAGTGCCGATTACAAACTCCTCCTCTTTCCCGCAGGGTGAGTGCTCCCAGATGTGCTACAATATTTTCATTGTGGAGTCCGTGTGTGTGGCATGGTTCTCCCTGGAGTTCCTGCTCAGATTCATCCAGGCCAAGAGCAAATTCGCCTTTTTGCGGAGGCCCCTGACGCTGATCGACATCATCGCCATCCTGCCCTACTACATCACGCTGCTGGTGGACACGGGCTCCGAGGGCTCCAAGAAGCCCAGCTCGGGGAACATCTACCTGGACAAGGTGGGGCTGGTGCTGCGGATCCTGCGGGCGCTGCGCATCCTCTACGTGATGCGGCTGGCGCGGCACTCGCTGGGGCTGCAGACGCTGGGGCTGACGGCGCGCCGCTGCACGCGCGAGTTYGGGCTGCTGCTGCTCTTCCTCTGCGTGGCCATCGCGCTCTTCGCGCCCCTGCTCTACGTCATCGAGAACGAGATGGCCGACTCGCAGGAGTTCACCAGCATCCCCGCCTGCTACTGGTGGGCCGTCATCACCATGACCACSGTGGGTTAYGGGGACATGGTGCCCCGSAGCATCCCCGGGCAGGTGGTGGCTCTGAGCAGCATCCTGAGCGGCATCCTCCTGATGGCGTTCCCCGTCACCTCCATCTTCCACACCTTCTCGCGCTCCTACCTGGAGCTGAAGCAGGAGCAGGAGAGGCTCATGTACAGGAGAGCGCAGTTCCTGCTGAAAGCCAAGTCGCAGATGAGCAATGAGTCACAAGGCAGCGAGGTTTTGTTCACCACTCTCTCCTCCGAGGCCAGGGACAATGAATGAAATTTATGGTACTGTTTCTCCTGCTGTCGCTGTATCCGATTCCACCATTGAATTTGCTCTGAAGCGTCTTAGGAAGGTAATCCTCAGATTAAAATGAACAAAAGGAGCTGTAACCAGGAACTGATGTGGTTTAAGAAGTCTGTTATTATGCTGTTCCTCTCTCCCCCCCATATAATGTATAGGGCAGTATTTTCACTGAAATAATGCAGTGGGATTTAAAGAATTAAAACTTCTCTGGCAACAACAAAAAAAAAAAAAAGCAACATATAATTACACACTTRACAGGCTGTTTTGCCATTTGTAATACACGTTTTTCCAACCGAATCACAATGTATATAATCATTAAACAGGCTACCATTTTTCTTGTTCMTCTTGTATATAAATAATGTAAATACAACAGAATTAATGGCTAAATTCTCTCCCARTAACACGCCCTAGAGCGTGATGGAAATAACCACAGACGTTTGTCCCATTGTGCTTTTACAAAAACGTCAAGTGAGACTCGTCACTCACCACAGAACCATCTATTTCTTTGCAAGTCAGCCCTAAACACAGCAGAACAGAAGAATCGAGCTGTTTATAGCATAACCCTGCTAAAGACGTAAATACTCAGAGCGCACCAGCTTCAAAATTTAATTGCCATTACAGCATTGATCCGATGCCATCGAATGCAACATTCCAAGGAACAAAGCCTTGGAGTTTTGTAGCACTTAATATTATTACCAAGAGGTGACTAGCTGCAAATGCAATGAAATATGCATGAGGAGATGCCAGCCGTTCCCCACCATCTGTTCCCAGCTTCACTTTCCCTCAGCTCTGGAAGGGAACTGGGGAAGGGTCGTTTCCAGGGACCCTCAGCACTGCTGGGCAAACTGGGGCCACCCCTTCCCGTGGAGCTCCTGATTCCGTAACAGGAGCAGGAAATCTGTGCCCGTGGGAAGCTGCCAGTGAGGAAAAGAGAAAATAAGATTTRAGTCATGGAGGGGGGCCACTGACAGATTTGTGCTTCGCTGTCCTCCCTCAGGAGGGACTCAAGACAGGATTAACTTTATCTTTGCCATCCTTACGCACGTGGTGGATTTTAAATAAGGAAAGATTTTAAAGGAAGAAGGGGAAGATTTTCAATAGGGCAGGAAAAGCAATGGAGATCCTAAAGCACAAGCACGTTTTCTTCACCCACACAGGTTTTTTGGTGCAGTTCTCTGCTGAAGTTGGGAGCCCAGGGGTCTGTGGCACACTCAGGTTTGGCACAGATTTCTGGGCAGGTCATTGACTGACCCCTGTTTATTTTAGAGGGAATGACCCTGACTTTTGTAACAGCTCAGGAAAAAAAAAACTCCAGAACTTAAAAAAAATAATTAAATCCACCTGTTTGATTTAATGTATGCTTAGAAGTAAAGAAAAGATGATTTAAAGAGTTTCACCTATTTTCCACTCTTTTTTAGTAAAATGACTTATTGGCAGGTAAGAGCTTGGGGAATTTAGAAGTCCCCACCACATTGACCAATGTTTCTTTATCTTAATTTTCAGAAATACTATTTCTTATTGGCATTTCTGGAGCAGGTTATGAGAAATGTCAGAATGCATAATGGTTTTATGATTTAAATTAAGGCCAAGGACACAACGTTGTCCTTCCAGAAAAGGGAGGCTTGCTGTCCTTCCTTCCAGCAAGCCCACAGCATGCTGATTTTCTTTTCAAATGTCTTTAAAATATAATTTGAAGCTGTTCTGATGTGCTTGTTCCTGAAGGAAAATTCCAAAACTTTTTAAAATGCACTTTACAAATAATTAGGGCTCTAGCATTCTCCAGCCTGTGGTAGGRAAATGTGCTTATGGAACTTTACTGCAGAGTGCTAAAACACCCAGACTAAACTSTTGGCAATTAATTCTGTGCCAAAGCTGCAAATGAACCAGCTTTTCACTCTTGTTCTTCATCTTTAATTAGAGTTGGACAAAAAACAGGAACATCGTGACAAAAATTTCTTCTCCCCATTTTTTTTTTCCATTTCAGAACTGTTTGATCATCTGGAGCATTGGCTCCAGCACAAGTGCTATACATCTTCTACCTTTGTGTCAGCGTTCGTTATAAAAAGAACTGGTAATTAGATTAGTCCTGTGAGCAACAGTTGCTTATCTAAGAATGTGTTTGACAGGCTGAGCCATAAATAAGAAGCTGTACATGAATATAAGGAGAAATCAAGACTTACCAAATAAAACCTAAGCTCATTTCCATGTTCTGCGAGCTGATAAATGCTACAGGGCAATCCATTTCCTGTCTTTRCATTAATGCTCATTTATTTCATGTATCACTTTATTTTTTTTTTTTTATCCCAGAACTAGAGCTTGATTCTAAAGCCCTTGTCCAGAAGAAATAAATTCAAAGTATCACGCTGGAGCTGGGTGTTGGTTGTGCTAAACTGTGAAAGCACGAGGTGGGCACAGAGAAGCTGTTGGGATGAACCTGGCAGCAGATGTTTGTCCCCATCCTGATGTGTCTGAGTCTCAGTGGCTGTAACCRACCTGCTGTGCTTTCCAGGGGACACAAATTGTGCTCCTTGTGCTAAATAAACCCAGCTCGAAGGCTGAAGAGCACAACTTCAGTGTCCACCCCACATGCTGTGTTCCAGCTTCCTGGGGAGGCTGGGGGGTCTCAGGTCATTGTGCCTCTCCATTATCTGGATTTTTCCTCAAATTCATGACGATTATGGCTTGGCTGAAAAGCTGGCTGTTTCCTGTGACCCAGCTGAGGGCTGGCTGTCCTTTCCAGCATTTTACCAGCATGTGCAGTCGCCAGGAAAGCCCCAGTGCAAGCCCTCGATGCTTTGATCACACCAGAAGGGCTGTTGGAATGTCTGCAGGGGTTTCACTGCTCTGATATCTGCTCTGTGTGCTCCTGCTCTGGCCAGCTGCAATCCCACAGCAGCAGCTGTACTCACTGGATTAATAAAGTGTGGGATCTCCTGGCATGTCCCTGTGCTCCTTGGGGACAGAGGGTGGAGGGTGGGACAGGAGCGGGGCTGGGGCACAGCTCGGGGCTCAGCAGGGCCAGAAAGCACTCAGCAGCAAAGAAAATCATCTCCCTGCAGAAAATCCACGTGCCAGATCGTACAGGGAAACCTCTTCCTTGCATATTGTCCCAAGAATCGCAATCACAGTTCATCGGGACAGGACTTTAAAATATTTTAACAAATAATCTAGCAGATTCGGAAGAGACCAGCAAGGATCTATGAAGACTGAGAAAGAAAAATCCCTGATGAAAGCAGAATTTCCAGGTAAGGTGGTACATTACTTTCTCCAAAATCCTTCCCTTTCCACCCTCCTGCTTCCTCAAAATGAACACAAACCCCTTGGTGGCTGCAGCACTGAGAAATGAAGGCACAGAACTGGAATTCATGACAGCAGATGGATGGCACCCCTGTCAACAAAAATGCACCTCAAAAGTTCTATTGCCAAAGCASAAAATGCAAACCACACGATTAACCCACTCATTTCTTTGCCACGTCCTCTGTGGCATTTCAACAATCCCATTTCAGYGTTCCTGACACAGCAATGATCAGAYCAAATCCAGATGCAAACTGWAATTCCCAAATGGCTGCAGCTCTGTGTGTGTCCTGTCCCATCACAGAGTGTGAATCCTCCTTGCCTGGTGGCTCTCAGTCACTCTGCAAAACCGTACACCACAAATAAAGAGAAATTTCTACACCACAAATAAAGAGAAATTTCTACACCACAGATAAAAGCAGGGAGAATTTCGTGTGCTGCCAGACTGAAAATTCTCAGAGTTTTGGCCTATTAATTATTAACAATAAAACTAGTCCTCCCTCCCTTTTTGCTCAYTGTTTTTCTTTGTAATTTCCCAGTGTCTCACATCCTCTGAAACRCTCCCTAGAAATCCCTAACGAGATGAGGAATGTTATTAGCTCCGAGCCTGCCAGGAGCATGGTGAGGAAACTGCAGGATCGGGATATCAGGGGATCTTCTGCCCTCTTCAGCAGAGCTTTCACTTTCTCTTTGCCTGCAGGAACTAATCCAGAAGCAAATGCCACTTGAACAGAAATAAAGTYCTGCCACAACTGAAACCACAGCAGGCCAATTAGGGTAATTAGAGCATATTTGCTACACTTTATAAATATTCATTGGTTATCCCTGTAGTCCTTGTGACAGGAGCTGAAGCACCAGAGCCAGGCAGGGCACACAAACCTGTGGAACTGTGTCAGGCTGAGGTCTCAGCTCCTYCTTTGTCAGATTCCCTCATTAATGGCAGCAGCTCTTAATTATGGTCATAATTTAACTCCTACCTTCAGTGAGGGTTCAGAAGAACTGGGCTGTAAACTGCAATAATTAGCCTGCTCAAGGGACTGACCCAGAATATAAGAAATTCCCAGTCATCATCTGGAAATTGGGATTTTTTAAAAACTTGACAGCTCATTTGAGAGCTCTCAGTCATGCAAGTGAAGTGGTCAGCGAGATAATGATGTTTATCTTCCTGTTAAAGATAACAATATCATTTAAACGGTGCCTACCTCAGGAACAAAGTGCTGGGCACAAGCGTAAATTTCTACAGTGAATTCTATAGAGAAATGAAGTTTTGACACAGAATTGCTGAATGATAAATTGAAGTGCTGCTCTCATTCTCATTAGTGATGCACCTCATGTCACAAAGCAGCTGAGAGATTTCATCCMTAACTTTCCCAGTGATGGCAGCTCCCAGGTCAGCCAAGGAAAAGATGACTCAGTTTCTTTCACTCAGAAAGAAAAGCACATTCTGAGAAATCGATAAATATTATCCTCACGCAAACCAAACCCAACACTGCAATTGCAGGTGACTTTAATTTTGGAGAGGAATATTTCCTGGCACAACATGCGTGGGCAAAGTTAAGGCTGCAAAGTTTCATATGGCAGAGTGAGGGGAGGCTTCCAGAAGCCCTGAAATTGAGATAAGAGAATCTTCCTTTTGGTGGGACCTGGGGAGAGCTGCAGGTGCCTTTTGTCCCTGCTGTCCCCTGCTCTCCACTGRCAGCAGCAGCTCCAGCTCACACCTGAAGTGCTGCAAGAATTGCACAGCACCAYGAGAATTCCAGAGGAATTTCCTCATGGAAATTCAGGCATTGGAACTGCCAGGGAGGGTTGGAGTGCCCATCCCTGGAGGTGTCTCAGGAAGGGCTGGAGGTGGCACTGAGTGCTCTGAGATGGGGACAAGGTGGGCATGGGGCACAGTTTGGGCAAGATGTTCCTTGGAGGTCTCTTCCAACCGCAGTGATTCAGTGATTCAGTGATTCTGGGACTCTGCCTTTCTGGATGCTGGGATGAGGAAGAGTCACATTTTGCACATTCCTGACAGGCAAAGGCAAAGGATGAAAGGACAAGTGCTCCCTGTGAATGCAGCTCTGGTTTTTGCTCATTTGTGTGCGATTGTTTCTCCCAGGAGAGGGACAATGCCCCAAACTCACAGCTGGACCAGAGGGTGATCCGTGCTGCTGGGACAGTCAGGAATCACGGAGGAACAGCACAAATGCCGGGTGTGATCAGGATTTGGGGCTGGGAGTTGTCTGTCACCTATGAGGAGCAGAGTCAGGATTCACAGAGGAACAGCACAAATGTAGGGCGTGATCAGGGTTTGGGGCAGGGAGTCAGCTGTCACCCATACAGAGCAGTCAGGATTCACAGAAGAACACCATAAATTCAGGGTGTGATCAGTGTTTGGGGCAGGGAGCGGGGCTGTCACTGTCACCCATACAGAGCAGTCAGGATTCATAGAGGAACAGCACAAACACAGGATGTAATCAGTGTTTGGGACAAGGAGCAGGGCTGTCACTGTCACCCAGGCAGAGCAGGAATATCCCGATCCCAGCATCTTACATTGCCATCTACGGGCCGCTCCCGGCAAATTCCTGTCCTAAAGCGCCCATCTGCACCAGCCAGCTTTAAAACGGTGAATAAAATATTTGGAGAAGTTCCCTTTAAAATGCAAAGGAAAATATTCGATCCATTGCAGTGCAGCCGTGGCCTCTCATTTCCAGAGCAGGCTGATGGATCTGCAAGGAAATGAGGATGAAGATATCATCACCACAAATTCTGGGAAGTGWGAAACTCCTAAAAGTATTCATGCAGCATTTATTTGGTTGGAATATTGGTAAGTGATATTTTTCAAAAGGCTAATGCAACTTTATCTGACTAAAATTAAGATTTTCAAGGTCACATGAGGCAATGTAAACATCGCCATCACTTGTACAAGAGCAGCCTGGTAAGAAAACTTATGGGTTTATTTATAAAATAAATGACAGAATCTACTTCAAAGGGGAAAAAAGATAATAACCTAATTGAATATGAAAAGGCAGCCATAGAGTGTSTTAATGTGTTCCAATCACTGTCACACCTGCTGCCTCCCACTACTACAGTAGTAAAATGAAACTGAGAGCAGCTTCAGAAACATTTTGAAATGACAACATGCAAGTCCTGTTAATGACTCCTATAAATTCTGCCTAAAATAGATCTATCCCAGCATCTGGAATACACCCCCAGGTGTGCACATACTCATGTGTACATATAGATAAATATATAAAAGGTTGCGTTTAAACTCTTCAATGTCTTTTTCAGAATTTCAAACCCTTACACAGTGAAGTTAGAAATCTATTTTACAAAGTAAGAACTTTTCAGCAGGGCCTGTAGCAATAGGACAAGGGGAATGGATTCAAACTGRAAGCAGGTTGATAAAGRCTGGTGATAAGGAAGACTTTGATTATTACAAAGGTGGTGAGGCCCTGGCACGGTGCCCAGAGGAGCTGGAAGTGYCCAAGGCCAGGTTGGGCAGGGCTTGGAGCAGCCTGGGATGGTTCAGATGTTCATTCCAACCATCCTGTGATTCCATGACTGCTCCCGAGCAGGTGAATGCCCATTTGCCTACAAGACCTCATTTCCCAGTTGAATTTCTAGGAGCCATTTTAAATTTGGAGATAACCTTTCTTTCCAAGCAGGGATTTGGTCTCCTAGCAACAGCACCAGCACAAACACCTTGTGAACCAAACTACAG